CATCTGCTTACCTCCGACGCCGGGCACCACGCCGGGAACCCCAGCCACGCCGGGCACGCCGGGCACACCAGGGACACCAGGGACACCGGGAACACCAGGGACACCGGGGACACCAGGGACACCGGGAACACCAGGGACACCAGGGACACCACCAATGCCGGGAACACCAACACCAGCTCCTGCAGGCAACAAGAGGGGAGAAGTTAGATCTCATTGCAGCAACAGTTGAAAGGTGGGACATTGCCATAGGTCTTGTGCTGTGGTGAGGAGAGAGCACCCCACCGCCTTGTCCCAGGAGAGATGCACAGTGGTGCTACGGAGGGACTGGTCCTGTGTCTCCCAAGGGGCCCCAGCGAGGATGGTAAATCTGCCATTGTAAAAGAGAGGCTGGGAAGTCACCAGCACAGGGGATCATGATGATCCTCATCATTATGGGGGCTCCAGATGGTCCTCATCATGGGGACATTAAGCCCTGCAGCCAAACAGGCCACGGAGGCGGAGTGACTGGTGGTCCCCAGTAGCTGCCTGGAAGGGCTGGGTGCCCCGGGCACTGGCCAGACTGGGGAGCTGCCCAGGGCAGTAACAGCCTTCACCTGCTGGCACTCGTCACTTCTGGAAGGGCTGAGCTCCGAGTCCTCATGGTCCCCTGCTCAGTAGGTGCCTGGCACCCCAGCACAGAGCACACATGCGTTAACTTGTCACTGTCAAGTTTGTCCCTAAATCCCATCCTTCCCTGGGCACATGGTGGGGTTTTTTTCTACACGATGCAGAAGAGAAATGGAAGAAATGGCCAGCAATGGTTTAGCCCTCAAAGGAAAGCTGCCATCGAGCATGGCTGCTCCCAGGGGACTCCCAGGGCTCTGCGGTGATGAGGATGTCCTGGAACACGGCCGTGTAATCTCTGGCACAGCCTGTTGGAGCAGCACATGGATCCCCCGGCCCTGTGTGGAGCCTCAGGGCCACTTCTGCCTCCTCTCCGCACCCGGGTTCCCACCTCTCCTGCTGCTTGGTCTGTCCCTCATGCCCCCTGGGCTCCTCCTCGCTGGAGGTGGTTATGCCTGCTGGGCACCTGAGTCTTGTTAGACCAAGTTGGATACGCTTGCTGGATCCCACTAGGTTTTTGGAAGGCGGTGACCCTGGGCAGGGGTCCCTCTGCCAGGGATCTCTGCCCATGTGGGCAGCGGGGCTGAGCCTGTGGGCACCAGACCCTGGGTCAGGTCTGTTGCCGGAAAAACGGATTTGATACAAAACCCAAGAATTCAGACAAGGTGCAGAGACATGAGTTCAGTCTCATCCGTTCACCTGCACGAAGCAGCCTGCAGAAACCCCGGAGAGGGAGAAGGTCCTGCCCTGGGGATGAAGCCAAGCCTGGATGCAGCAGCCGGGAGCGGGGCTGGGCGCATCCGGACCTGGGATGTTCCCTGGTAATGAGCCATCAAGAGCGATTCCCAGGGGACACCCGCCTGCCTGGGGGGGACCCTGAGTGCCATGGGTGGAGAAGGTCAGAAGGAGTCCCTGGGGAGCTGCTGGGGAGCGCCTTGCACCACGCAGTACGTACCGTACTTAGCTGCCTTTGCTGCCGCCTTTGCTGCTGCCGGCGTCCCGACTCCTGGGGACAAGGGAGAGATGGACCCTCAGCCACCAGCCCCCACGGCCCCTGCAGAGCTGGGTGGTGGGGACAGGGCTCCTGGGAACAGTCACCTGCTACCCCGGGGACACCACCGACACCGGGTACCAAGCCGGGGACACCACCAACGCCGGGCACGAGGCCTGGGACGCCGCCAACCCCGGGCAGCACCCCTGGAGCTGGAGGGAAGCAGAGCAGTCAGACACCCCCCCAAAAACACCCCGTCCCACTGGTGGTGACACGGTCTCCCCCCTGGCGTCATGGGAGGCTTTGGGGCACCTGGCTTTGAGGTGGGCTTTCCACACCTCCCAGTCCAGCTGCTCAGGGGACATGGGATGCGCCCAGGATTGGGATTCCCAGCTCCCTATGCCCACCCCAGGGGTCTGGAGCCCACCCGGACACCCAGGAGCTTGGGGAACCCCGAGGTCCCCCAAGGCCATGGTTGTAAATCCCAGCTGCTCCCAGAGCTGACACGCTTCCTTCTTCAATAAGCGGTCGTTTGCGACTCGCTTTTCTCCCACAAAACAGACAACGAGGGAAGCAGCGAACACGAGATCTGCATCACCAAGCGCATCCCTTCGCTAACAAATGATGGCTCCTTACAGACACCGTCTCCCCAGAGACTCTGCCGCATCCCAGCACAGAAAAACCGCATCTTGTATGGAGAAACCACGCGTGATGGGGGACGTACTGCCTGGTGTTGGGCTGCTGCATGGCGAGGCGGCCAGCCTGCCCTCCAGCCACCGCTCTCCCAATGGGCTGCTGGAAGCTGCCCCCAAGGAGGGTAAAGCCCCTCTGCAGCTCTGGGGGAGGTTTCCCACCTTGCTGCCTTCCACCCGCAAAAACCGCTGGCTCAGCAGAATGGCTTCACCTCACCCCAAGCTCCAGCAAGCAGCCACTGGAGCCAGGGGCTGGGGCAGGGGGTGGTGGCGCAGGGGGTGAAGCTGCACAGCCCTGGCACCAACGCATGACTCTTCTGTGCCCCAAGAGTGAGCGTGGTCCTGCAGGGAGCTGCTGGGTCTGTCCGAGACAGCAGGGAACTCACCAACAGCTCCTGCCTTTGCCGCTGCCTTCGCTGCTGCTGCTGCTGCTGCTGCCCCTCCAACTGCCGGGGTAGCGGGAGAGAGTCAGGGGTACAGGACGGGGGGACAGAGGGACGTGACCCCCCATGAGCCCCAGGGCTGAGCCCCGCCATCACCTCACCTCCGGCTCCTGGGACAACACCAACACCGGGTACCACTCCACCGACTCCCGGGATGCCACCAGCCCCGGGCAGGACACCGGCTCCTACGGCAGGGGAGAAGGGGACCATCAGCTCGGTGATGCAGGGACAGAACCAGCATCCCCCCCAGCATGGAAGGGAGGGAGGGAGGAAGGCACTGCCCCACTGGGGAGATGGGTGATGGATGTGCCCGTGGAGGGCGACTCACCATATTTCGCTGCTGCTTTCGCTGCTGCCGCCTGTGCTCCAACTCCTGGGGAAGGACATAGGCAGTTGCTGAGGTCCTGAGGCCATTCCCACCTCAGCTCCCCCATCCTGCAGGGACCATGGGGACCAGCCCCTCCTGCCAACATCCACCCCCCTCTCCTTTGGGAGGTGATGCACCCCTCCAGGCTGTCCCTGCAGTGACACTGTCACCCTGGGACCACCAGAGAGCCGGACAGTGCCCAACACCCCATCCAAGGACCGGCAAAGTGATGGGGGTACCCAGTCCCCCTGCCATGCCCGTCCCAGTCCCCCACCCTGGGGCTGCCTGGGAGGGGAGCGTACCTGTCCCGGTGGGGTACCCTGCCTTTCCTCCCACTCCGATGCCGGCTCCTATTCCACCGGGTCCGAAACCTGCAATCACAAGCAGAAAGGCAAAGCCCGGTCAGGCGCTGGCCCTGGGAAAGGGGACGAGGCAGATGGAGCAGCTCCCTCGGCCCAAAGGATCTTCCCCCCTGCAACGTCAAGGGATGTGGGGGGCAGGGAGGGATGCCGGACCCAGCACCCCCCCAGGTTGAGATGCCAGTTCAAACATCGCTGCCTGGAGCTGGCGGTGGCTCCGGAAGTGGCCCCGCGGAGGCAG